TTTTTTTTTATGGTTGTTTGGAAGTTTCGATTGGAAAGAAAGTGAGGTTGTATAGAAGTTCAAGCTTCAAGCTTGGAGTTGGGGGTGATTGCGTTTTCTTGTCAAGAATTTTCTTTATAATGTATGGGAAATGTAGAGTTTACAGTGCACAGAAGGTGTTTGAAGTAATTTCTGAGTTAAGAATGTAGAGGCTGAGTTTCAGTCATTGATAAAATGAACGTGAAGATGAGTGTCGGTTTATGTTTCCTGTGGATTGGTTAGTTATGGTGACACGTTCGCTTGTTTTTTCTGAAGGATAGCTGTAACCGAGGATCAGCTTGGGACCGATGGGAAAAGCATCAAGGGACAAGCGGGTAAAGTTTATTATTAGCTCACTTTTGTTGGTTTTTCACTGGGTGTGATGAGTTGTTGATGAATGTATTCTGTTCTGCAGGATATTTACTACAGGAAAGCCAAAGAGGAAGGATGGCGTGCACGAAGTGCCTTCAAATTGCTTCAGATTGATGAGGAATTTAACATATTTGAAGGTAAGAATAGACTACTTGTTGGCCTTCTTTCTTTTCTTGGAAAAAATTTAACTTTTTGTTTTTTAAATGTCATAGCTCTTGTAATATTTTGTTTTTCGGTGTGTTGTTTCTTGCAATTTAAGCTGGTTCAGATGATGAATTGTTTAGGGTTCAATTGGGTACACTTTTATTTATTTATTTTCTACAGAGTTGCTTTTGTGCTGGAGAAAAAAAAATGGGAGAAAGTATGAATTTTGAGGATGTGTATGGATATGAGATGGAAATGTAACAGTAAAGTGTGATAACGAAATTTGTGGAAAAATTGTTCTAAGGATATGTAGTTCTAGTAAAGTGTGCTGATTGGGTTGTGACTGAAAAAAAGAAGTATATTTTTTGACAATTGTGGTTGGCAATCGATTACTTCTGGTGTAAAGGATTTTTTTTTAAGAAAAATAAGTTAGTAGTTGTACATTGTGCTTTAACCTCTGATCATTAGGTATAGGTTTGTAATAAGTTATCTTCAGACAGTTGACAATATGACCCCATTACTATGCAGGGGTAAAGCGTGTGGTTGATTTATGTGCAGCACCTGGAAGCTGGAGCCAGGTATCTGTAATTTTATGTCTGTGTAATAAGTTTGAAATAAAAATGGAATAAAAGAGTTTTCTAGGTACCCTGTACAAAAGATGCTAAATTATCCGAATTACCCTGTCTTGAAATTTTTTTGTTTTCAGGTTTTGAGTCGAAAACTATACCTGCCAGCAAAGCTGTCACCTGATTCCAAGTACATTTTGTTGATAAAATATTTCTATACTCTTAAATCTTACTTTAGTTTTCTTGATAACATTATTTCCAATTTTATTTTTGTGAACACGTGTTTATGACACATTTCCTTTGCCTCTTTTAAATTTTGATTGAGGATTTGATGGTACTTGTCTGAATTACAAATTGTCAGCAATGGTGATCTACCACTTATTGTGGCAATAGACTTGCAGCCTATGGCTCCTATTGAAGGCGTTATTCAAGTTCAAGGGGACATTACAAATGCAAGGACAGCTGAAACTGTGTGGATGAATCTCATTCTTCTCATTATTTTTTAGGTTTTAAAACATTTTACACAAACCTAATATATTTTTCCTTGTTTTCTCAGGTAATTCGGCATTTTGATGGGGGCAAGGCTGACCTTGTTGTGTGTGATGGGGCACCTGACGGTGTGTAAATTATATTCTTTTTCATTATATCTGTCCTTTTGCAACCATACATGTTGGTGTTTATTACCAATGTACACTCTAACTTTCTCATCATATTTCAGTAACTGGCCTGCATGACATGGATGAATTTGTTCAGTCTCAACTCATTTTAGCGGTTAGTATTTTTTTTTTTTTTCTTATTTTATCTTAGACTTTCATATGCATTCAAAGACATAAAAATGTATGCCCTTTGATTAAAATGTGAATTTCAAGTACTTATAGCTCTCAATTGTAACATTTAACATATGATTTTATGTAAAGATCAGATATATTTTGAGTTGCAAGTTGATGTCAGACAGTGGAATACCATTCTTGCAGGGACTTACCATAGTTACACATATACTGAAAATAGGTGGAAAGTTCATTGCAAAAATATTTCGAGGAAAGGACACTAGTTTACTTTATTGTCAGGTTCGTTATAATTTTTTTGCACGTCACATGATATTTTCCAGTCATTGGCTATTTGAGCCATTGACCTAATGAAATTCGTTGTTTTTGCAGCTAAAATTATTCTTCACGGAGGTCACATTTGCTAAACCGAAAAGCAGTCGTAACTCAAGCATAGGTTAATATCTTATTCTTTATTTCTCTCTTTTATTTATTTATTTATTTATTTATTTATTTTTTCTCTGGCTTTTGTAAATCATCCTTTTCCTCTTAAAAACACCTGATTCAGTATCTCTACGAGTGAGGATGTTTTTTCGTTTGGCATTTTATATTAATAACTCGAATTTAACCTTGGTCTCTAACTTTTGTTTATATTCATTCCTACACAGAGGCTTTTGTAGTTTGTGAGAATTACTTGCCTCCCGAAGGCTTTAACGAAAAAGATCTACACCGACTCCTTGAGCAAATTGGAAGTCCTTCGGGTGCCGATGATCTAGGTAATTCTCAATACTATAAAATTATTAGTACTAGAGACAGTAGTTTATTTTATTTTATTTTTAATTTTTTGAGACAAATGCATTTAGCAGATTGTAGCAGTGGGTGGCTGGAAGGGCCGAACAAGGTTTATATTCCGTTTCTGGCATGTGGTGATCTCAATGGTTACGACTCGGATCGTTCGTACCCACTTCCTAAGTCAGCTGATGGAACTTACCGGAGCTTGGATCCGGTACAACCCCCTATTGCACCACCATACAAGCGTGCTTTGGAGTTGAAGAAAGCTGCAAATCATGGTACTCAAGGCCTTGAAAAGCTTTCCCTTGATTCTTGAGTACGACTTTGGTGAAATCTATTGTATCAAGGAAAATGGCATTTGGAATTTGTTTGAATATTTTCGGAGGGTTTTTTTTTTTTT